GCTGGTGAAGCTGCTGAAGATCTGTGTTACCACCATTGCCTCGATCAGCATGTCCATGAGCCAACACGTGGCAATAATATCCTCGACCTCATAATGTCAGATATCCCTGGAAGCGTCATCTCAACTCTCCATCCACCTCTAGGGAAATCTGACCACGCAGTTGTGGTAACTGACTTTGAAGTTGCCCCCTCCTGTGACCGTCCCAGTAAGCGAACCGTGTGGCGCTACCAGCATGCTGACTGGCCTCGGCTACGGGCTTTCTTTCGGTCCACAAACTGGGTGTTGACTGATGACAACAGCATTGACGTCTCTTGTGTGAAACTCACACAGAAGATCAAAGAGGGCATGCAGATATTCATCCCATCCAAAACCCTGAAGCTACGCCAGGGAGACCCAGCCTGGTGGTCACCTGAGTGCCAGGAAGCTGTTGACAGGAAGCAACGTGCCTGGCGACGTCACCGATCTTCGCCCAACAATGCACACCTGCGGCTGGCCTACTCTATGGCAACGGGTGAAGCAACAAACTGTCTGCACAGAGCCAAGCAAGCGCACACTACCAGTATCCACCGAAAGATAAGAGAAGGTGCCCTTTCCAGCCGACAATGGTGGACAACCGTCAAGCGAGCAGGTGGGCAAGGACACCGCTCTGCAGACATACCTGTTCTGCGTGCGTCGAACGGAACTGAGCACACCACCTGCAGCGAAAAGGCCGAAGCATTCGGGCAGTATTTCTCCGCAAAGTGCAGTCTTGGTGACAACGACTTGCAAGCCAACAGCCTCCCTCCAGTCCGCCCCCGATCTCAAGCCCAACTCCGCAATGTCCACTTTCGGCCAAGCACGGTTGAGCGGAAGCTGAGGCAACTCCACCCCGCCAAAGCCACGGGTCCAGATGGCATCCCCGGGCGTGTACTCCGGCAATGCAGCAAAGAGCTGGCTGCACCAGTGTCGCGGCTCTTTTCGCAGGCCTTCCACCAAGGTCGGCAACCTACAATGTGGAAGACGGCAATGGTTGTGCCGGTGCACAAGAAAAAATCCAAGTCTGATGTTAAGAACTACCGCCCGATCTCCCTCCTCTCTATTCTGTCAAAAGTCATGGAGGCCATTATTAACCACTCAATCCGACAGTTCCTGGAGGCACACAACATCTTATCGAAAAGTCAGTATGGCTTCCGCAGCCAACTCGGCACCCAGGACATACTCACGCTACTCAACTACCAATGGAGTCGCGTTGCAGCCAGAGGTGGTGTAGTTCGAGTCATTGCAGTTGATGTGGCTGGCGCATTCGACCGCGTCTCTCATGTAGGCGTTTTGCACAAGGCACAATGCTATGGTGTAACTGGTCCACTTCTCGCTTGGCTGAGGGATTACCTGACTGATCGTCACTTGAGGGTTGCAGTTGGAGGTGAACTTTCCAGTCCGTACCCGACCAAAGCTGGCGTGCCGCAGGGCAGTATCCTTGGCCCCACCCTGTTCATCCTCTACACCAATGATGGCGAGGACCACCTCCCACCAGGTATGGAGCTAGCAGCCTACGCTGACGACACCACTCTCTTCCACTGCCTCACATCAAGAGCTGACATTGACTGTGGCTCCGAGCTCCTCCAGCAGGGCATTGATGCGTTTTCCCGTTGGGGACATAAGTGGAGGATCAAATTTGAGCCCTCCAAGACGCAGGCTATGTCTATAGGCCACCATCGCCAGCCCTGGGAGCTCCCTCGCGCAACATTTGACGGCACACCGGTCAGTGAAGAGAGTCGGCTGAAACTCCTGGGAGTCACCTTTGACGACACCCTGAGCTACTCCTTCCACCTCCGCTCCCTAGCTTCCCGTGCTAACCAGCGGATTGGCTTCCTGAAGCGAGCGTCTCCCATTCTGGACGCCGAGAGCCGCCAACGCGTCTACAACGGCTTTGTGCGACCCACACTCGAGTATTGCCCCTTAGTGTGGATGGGCTCACCCTCGTCCCATCTTAAGAAGCTGGACCAGATCCAGCGAAGGGCCCTCCACATCATCGGAGCAGGTACTTGGCTCCCTAGCCTGGCACTCCGTCGCCTGGTAGCTGCACTTGCCTATACCTACAAGCTCTGCTATCTAGATACATCCAGCCCTCTGAAGCAGATGCAGCCTAAACCAGCCACTCACCGTGCCCCCGAGACAAGACCTACCCGTCAGTCTCTCCAGCTGCAGGATTCTCATCCATACCAGATGACAACTGGCCTGCCTGCCAACACCCGGAATAGCTGTCTCCAAGGATTCCCTGCTTGCACCGTTGCAACATGGAATGCCCTGCCACCAGACCTGTTCCACCACCCACCCGCCCAGCCTCACATGCAAAGCTTTAAGAAAAAGGTGTACCGTCACCTTCTTGCTCAGGACTGGCTCTCTGCTACTGATGCACTTTGAATCTGCTCGCCAACGCTTTCCCTGTTCTTATTAGTGTTCAACTGCTTACCTTATAACCCTGCTGTCATCATCACCAATATTCTGATTCTCATGCACATATCCCAGAACCTGCTATCCTTCGCAGTCCCCATCACCAAGAGCACTGTGCTCTTCTATCTCCCAGCTCTCTCTCTCTCTCTCTCTCTCTCTCTCTCTCTCGCCCTCGCTCTCTCTCTCTCTCTCTCTCTCTCTCTCTCTCTCTCTCTCTCTCTCTCTCTCTCTCTCTCTCTCTCTCTCTCTCTCTCTCTCTCTCTCTCTCTCTCTCTCTCTCTCTCTCTCTCTCTCTCTCTCTCTCTCTCTCTCTCTCTCTCTCTCTCTCTCTCTCTCTCTCTCTCTCTCTCTCTCTCTCTCGCTCTCTCTCTCTCTCTCTCTCTCTCTCTCTCTCTCTCTCTCTCTCTCTCTCTCTCTCTCTCTCTCTCTCTCTCTCTCTCTCTCTCTCTCTCTCTCTCTCTCTCTCTCTCTCTCTTTCTTTCTTCTTCTCTCTCTCTCTCTCTCTCTCTCTCTCTCTCTCTCTCTCTCTCTCTCTCTCTCTCTCTCTCTCTCTCTCTCTCTCTCTCTCTCTCTTTCTTTCTTCTCTTCTTCTTCCCCCATCTCCCGATAATTATTAGCCCCCGTTTTCTTTCGACGCGTTTGCTGTGCAGTGAAGCCGAGACCCTAGGTCGGTGGAGCACATCAGACCCCGTCACCACGTCCACGATTCATGCCTGCGATGCTGCACCGCTGCTTTGCATGTCATGATTGGAAGCTGTGGCCTTAGTAAAAAAAAAAAAAAAAAAAAAAAAAAATCCATTCCTGGAAAGTCCGGCCGTGTAGATTAGCCTCGTCCAATACTTCTTCATTAGCTGAGATAAAGATGCCATGCGCTTATTTCTTGACTTTGGTAAGTTCTTAGCTATTGTTGGCGGGTGGTTGGAATCCATGTGGAGGTAAAGAGGAGTGTCGCTGGTTTCCTATAAATATGGCGTATAGCGTTATGTCCCGGTCGTGGGGTCTAGCGTCACGTCGAGGAGGTTCGTTGTCTTGATGTTGATGTCGATAGTGATCCTCAGACCGAAGGACTTGATCAACGACGCTAATAATATGCTTCCTTGCGCGATCTGCAGCGCTACCGGATGCACTGCTCAGCGTGGCGAACACATCACCTCCGTACATACAGATCAACAGGCGCTGGATCCACGAAGTCAGCAAGCCTAGTAAGGATGAAGGCATCCACAAATTGGCAGACCTGAGCTCTGTCGAATGACCCTATGGCATCGTTACATCAAACGCTCTCCCACTGTTTCTCTTCGCCTGCGTGTTCTATCTGTTGAAAAGTAGCGCTCTCCGAGCGTGAATGACCACGTCTATCTCTCGCTGGCTGATGAATACAGCATCGCGAACTCGATGTCATGTGTGTATGTGTTAGGAGCTCCTCCGTGATAGACGAATCATATTCTACAATGTCGAATACCACACAGTCATGTTCTTGAGTCGTTCGTCTCCAGAGCAGTGAACCAGTCATGAACTGAGACAGTGCTTGTTCCATCGATTGATTCCCGTCGCTGATTGCACATCCCTGGTCCCGCGCTGCCTTGCTGACCCTTCCCATGTCGACTTATTTGGCCGGGGTTGATCAAGCGGCATGCAAATGGAGTATTCTGAGTCTGATGCAGGGGATACTGGACTCCTGCCTGTCAGTGTCAAGCCCGTTTTCGGTGCTACTACTGCCAACGCTGGGCCTAACCAGGACACCCTATACCGGCCGCTGCAGGTAGTGTTGAACCTGAAACTGGCAACACAGAGCAAGAGGAAGTGGATGCCATAAATGACGACAGCTGGCAGCTGGTTGCTGCAGCCCCACCAAGAAGCCGGAGAGCAGTAGTGTTTGTTGGCAACCTTAGCAGCACCTGCACAATGGAGGGTCTCACGGAGTTTGTGCACCGCCGGTCTGTAGCAGCCACAGGGAACATCATAGATGTCCACTCATGCAATGTACACACGGCAGCTAGCGGCAAAGTATCCGCCAGGGTCACCATCGATGCAGCTTGCCTGGCCACTGTGACCTCTGCCAATTTCTGGCCTCGGCCTCTCTACTGCAGGACATGGAAATTCAATCCACCCAAGAAGCGCAGCGGCAACGACAAGGCCCACAGCAGCAGTAATGGTGGCAGTGGCGACGGCAACGACAATGCCCACAGCAGCAGTGACGGTGGCAGTGGCGACGACAGCAGCGGAAACGACTGTGGCAGTGGCGGCGGCAGCAGCAGTGACGGTGGCAGTGGCGACGACAGCAGCGGAAACGACTGTGGCAGTGGCGGCGGCAGCAGCAGTGACGGTGGCAGTGGCGACGGCAACGACAATGCCCACAGCAGCAGGGACGATGGCAGTGGCGACGACAGCAGCGGAAACGACTGTGGCAGGAGCGGCAGCAGCAGCCGCCGCAATAGCAGCAGCGACAGTTTTCCCAAACCCGGCGCTGAGTTAACTCGGACCCCTGGGCAGAAGTCACGACCCCACCAGCGTGGTTCTCCCGCTGAAGACCAAGCTGCAAAGCGCGTGGCTCCAGTCAGCAAACAGTGATGTCTGCTGCCAGCCATATACCCCTGCTAAACCCCAATGCTACTCCCTTCCAGCCTCGAAGGTCCCGGGGCTCCCAAAGAACAACCAACTGCAACAACCTCAAACTGTTCGTCACGAGCCTCAACATCGGGTTTTTGAATATCTGCAGCCTGCGCTACAAGCTGCATGCACTGGACAGCCTTGCCCACCAGCACCACTGGGACGTCGTTGGCGTTGCCGAGACCTGGCTGGATAGTACAATCTCGGATGGCGAAATTTGTATTCCCGGCTACAGTGTTGTTCGCTGTGACCGGCCCGATCGCCAGGGTGGGGGCACATGCCTCTATTACAAGACATCACTCCCAGTTACCTATCGTTCTGATCTGCACAATAGCCACCTGGAGGCTACCTGGATAGCTATTGGCGGAGGGCAACACCAGCACCTCGTTGGATGCCTCTATCGCCCACCAAATGCAACTGCTGATTTCTGGGGCCACCTGGACACAGTCCTCCACAATGCTGCCACGATCACGCCATCAATGACACTGGTGGGTGACTTTAATATCAATCTGGCTCAATGCATGACCAGTCGTCCTCACCAGCGCTTCTGGGACCTTATCGGATCGTATGGGCTCCGCAACTATGTTCAGTCTGCCACACGAGTCACACCCCGATGTCCGGATGGAACGCTGCTTGATCTAGTGCTCTCCACCGTGGGTACTATAAGTCATTGTGAAGTTGTACCCTGCACGATCAGCGATCACTTCCTTGTGCATGCAAGTCTGTCTCTACCCTCCTCGCAACACCCACTGCAGCGGAAATCAGTGCGCCTCACCCGCAAGATCCGTGCCATTAACCTTGCAACATTTCGTGAAGATATTGCCTCGTGCAGCCTCCACTCCTTTCCCCCTGCTGCAACTGTAGACGAGATGTGGAATGGCTGGCATGCCAAGTTTATGTCGGTTCTCGAAAGTCACGCTCCCCTGCGTGAAGTCAGAATCTCCACCAGGAGGACTCCCCCGCCATGGTCCGACCGTGATCTATTCCAACTGAACATGCCCAAGAATAGACTTCACCGAAAGTGGCTACGAGATAAGACTAACGTGCATCTACATGAGGAGTACAAGCGAGCCCGTGCAGAAGCCTCAAATGCTTACCGGCGAAAACGCAATCAGCATTTCCAACAGCAGTGTCGTGATCACTCCTCCAACCTGCGGAAGATGTGGTCCGTGATCAACTCTGTCACTAGCCGTTCTCGTCAACATCATCAGCCAACGTGCGACATCACAGAAGTCTCGGATGCCTTCCACAGCATTGTACATGATCCGTCCCGTCCGGCGCAGCTCCAGATTCCCATTGGTCCACAGCCGCAAGGCTCAATGCTGACCTTCCAGTCAACTACCCCAGATGAGGTCAAGCACCTCCTGGAACGGATAAATCCCTGCAAAGCCACAGGCAGTGATGGGATTCCTGGGTGTCTGCTACGTGCTTGCGCTGACCTGTTGGCTCCATCGCTTTCAGTGCTCTTCAGCTCATCGCTGAGGCATGGTGAAGTCCCTCTGGCTTTCAAACATGCTGTAATAAGCCCTCTCTTCAAAGCTGGCGATCCATCGGTAGCTGCGAATTATCGTCCTGTGTCGCTCCTGCCGATCGTATCCAAACTACTCGAGAAGATAGTCCAGAAGCAACTTGTTGCACATCTGGAGCGATCATGTGCCATACCACCGACTCAGTTTGCCTTCCGCCGTGAGCACTCCACAGAGGACGCCCTAGTTGTAGCAACAGATGCCATCTTAAAGGCCCGGGACGACAAGTTGACCACAGGCGTCTGCCTAATCGACATGTCAAAAGCCTTTGACAAGGTCAATCACAGCCAACTGGTCCGGGACCTATTCGATCTTGGCCTGGACAATGCCTCCCTTCGCTGGTTCTGCAGCTACTTAAGCGATCGAACCCAGCAAGTGCGCATTGGCCCCACCTACAGTGTTGCTGCTAAGTGCTCATCTGGTGTACCTCAGGGCTCGGTCCTAGGTCCGATCCTGTTTAGCATGTACACCCGTGATGTCCCTGCCACAGCCCATCCTGCTCCATCTCTGCAATTTGCCGATGACATTGCAGTGCACTGCCACAGAAAATCAGTGCAAGCCACATCAGCCTGCCTGTCAGGGGCCGTCACCAACGTCGCTGACTGGCTCAAGCATCGACATCTGCTACTAAATGACAAGAAGAGCCAGGTCCTGTCAATTGTACCACAACGCAATGCGGGTCAGCATGTCGCTGTCCGCTGCAACCAGACAGAGCTTCCCCTGAGCCCAACAGCAAGGTACCTCGGCGTGACCCTTGACGCCGCTGTGAAGTGGGACCCCCATGTTGACGCGATGGCGAAGAAAGTTGTGCAGAAGATTGGAGCATTGTGGCGGTCCCGCAGATGTCTGAGCCTCAGTAGTCGCATCCAGTATGTGAGGTCAGTCATCATGCCTGACCTCCTATATGGGTCTAACGCCTTCTCTTCCTCCCTCAAGGTTTCGCAGCTTGATCGCCTTCAGGTCCTGCAGAACCGAGCGGCGAGAGCGGTATACGGTTTGCCGCCTCACACCTCGGCTCAGCCTCTGCTCGAACGGATGTCCCTGTACAGAGTTCGGGAGTGCTACGCCCAGAAGCGGCTCGTCCTGGTGTGGCGCTGTGTCAATGGGAAAGCCAGCAGTGTCCTCCAGGACCTATTCTCACCATCAGCTGGCAGCACCACCCGGCACCAGGTTTCCAGGGGCCTCACTGTCCCCTCGGCACAGTCAGAAGCCGGCAGATCTCGCCTGGCCTTTCAGGCAGCCTTGGCCTGGAACGCTCTCCCAAGGAGTGTAAGGGAGATCAAGGCTGCCCAGCAATTTAAGCTTGCCTCCATCCCCTACACCTTGCAATGAATGCTCTGTCTGACTTTTCCCGTCCACACACCACGTCATTTACTCTTCTCTGCGTGCTTGTGCGCTTATGAACTCTTTGTGTTCCCTCTGTTGACGCTTCAAAATCGCTCTATTGACACTGCAAAATCGCTCTGTTAACGCTACAAAATTGCTCTGCGTGCTTGTGCGCTTATGAACTCTTTGTGTTCCCTCTGTTGACGCTTCAAAATCGCTCTATTGACACTGCAAAATCGCTCTGTTGACGCTCCAAAATTGCTTATCATCTCCATCCCTCCCCCCCCCCTCTCTCTCTCTCTCTCTCTCCCTCTCTCTCTCTCTCTCTCTCTCTCTCTCTCTCTCTCTCTCCCCGTAGCTCTCTCCCTTTTGAAATTCGCTTCCATAGAATTGGGCACCATTGCCCGTTTGGCCTTGCGAAGCAAAATAAAAATCAACAACAACAACAACATGCCAGATCGTGTTACAAATCTTTCTTTGTGGTCTTTACGGGTAAGGAACGCCTAGGACGTTGCCATGACTTCCATTCGGTCGTCGATAGGCATGGGCGGGTAATGCTAGCATTATGGCTGGCATTATAGTCCCTTTTTTCCAGGTGGCATAATGCTGGCATTATAACACCATTTCGCATGGAAAATTAGCATTACAAGCATAATTGCTGGTCGACAACGGTGTCATGCATGAAGCTGGCTAGGTCCAGTTCCGAAAATCGTGCATCTGAAGCTGAACCCGTCCGGCTTCGCCTGGAGAGTTGACGTTGCAAATCTACCTTCTCAGTGGATTGTTTCAGACAACATGCTGACTGCTGTTTAAGTTTTTTTTCTTCTACGCTTTGGCCTTGATCCAAGACGGCCTTCTTAAATCGACTTTTCCAACTTATTATGGAGTAGTGTGAGCATTATAAGTGGCATTATATCCTCATATTATGAGCATTGCCTTTAGCATTATCGCAGCACATAACTAGCATTACCCGCCCATGCCTAGTCGTCGAGCGGCGCCGGCGGATTCATGCTCTGCGCAAGCTGCCGTGCGCCTTGGTTGATGTCTTGGTACACCCCATCTGCCGCAATCCTCTAAGTCTTCGTAATGTTCTGGTGTAAGAGCGTGGAGTGCTGGTCCTTCGTGAGTGAGCAGAGGTTTCTAGTTGTGGCTGCCTTTACAACAATGCTATCTGATGTTGTCAGGGATTTTATATCGCTGGACAACTTCGTCTGGAATGGCTCCTTAACTTTTCGAAATGACACATTCATTATCCACCAGGCTGGTGAAGTCGTCCTTGCAAGCCTTCATCACGTCAATCCTTGGAGGGGTACTTTTTTGCTTTTGAAGCTATAGAATTCACCATCCTTTTCCGTTTTAGTTTGGGAGATCAAGAAGAAAAACGCCTTTCCATTGCATTATTCTCACTAGTGACTCAACTTTCTGCAGTAGTGCCTTCCTCAGGCTATACACATCCCCCGGAGTTATTCGTAAATTCTAGTCGGTATCCAGTCGTCTCGGCTAGTCTTACTTCGGGGTACTATGTACTGCAGTATTGTACAAGTATGCAAGGAGAAGATAATTATCTCATGCACCGCAAAGAGTACTCAACAGTGCTGAGCTGCACCGGAGCTACATACATGTAGCACTTATGTACATGTAGCTACATGTAGGACACACAATGCAAGCGGTTGGGTACTCACCAAGGACACATACCAGTTGCTACTCCGAGTTTCTTGAATCAATCACTCATCAAGCATCATAACAAACTGAAGCAGGGCTATAACGATCACTACAAGATACATTTTATTAGTGCAATTAGGAGTATAATCGATGCAGACATGGCCAGACAACAACGAGTTCATGGAATTTTTTAAGGATTTTTATGTTATTCAAAATCGATTTTCGTGTTCCGCTCATCAGTGAATAGTATCGGAACTGAGGGTACTGTGTACAAAAATAGAACATTTTATAACAGCATAATTAATTAAAAGTGTAAACAACAAAGGAAGTGCTAAAGCATTACATAATACTTGGGCCGCTCCTATTTCTACTGTACGTTAATGACTTGCCAGCCCTTGTACCAAATGTAAGTCTTTTTGCTGACGACACTGCTCTGATGTGCTCCGACAGCTCGGCAGACAACCTCACGGCCTCCATGCAGTCCGGGGTCAACGCTACAGTAACATGGATGGAAACCTGGAAACTGAAGCCTAACCTCGCCAAAACCGAGGCCATGTTCTTCTCTCCCTCGCCCCCCACTCAGCTTCTGTATTTTCCTGGTCTAAATAGTACACCTATTAAAGTTGTTAACGAGCACAAGCACCTGGGCGTTATTCTCGACCGCCAACTCTCCTGGTCTCCACAAGTCCAGTCTGTGTGCAAGCGTGCGAGTGCGTCCTTAGGTATGCTACAACCCCACTGCCAACACTTGAATGATAACTGCAGAAAATTGTTCTTTAAGTCGTACATTTTGCCTATATTTGACTATTGCGATATAGCTTGGTGCGGGTTGTCTCAGACTTTACTCCACAGACTGGAAGTACATCAACGCTTGCTTCTGAAAATTCTGTTTCGAAAAGACCAAACATTTGCCTCCCTTTGTCTTTATAAACTTGCTTCCACGCACCCTCTTCTTGCCCGACATCAGCAGCATCTTTGTATCCTTGTGCAAAAAATCTTCCTAGCCCAAGTCCCGAAACATATTGCCAAGTACAACTGGTTTGTTACCACTAGACCAACACGCAATGCCTTATCACTGCCCCGAGCTAGTTCCTCTCTGTTTTTGAAATCCCCTTTCTTCTCAGCATACTCCCTTTGGTCTAACCTGCCTACTAGCATTAAGACATGCCAGGATATCAGGAAATTCAAAGTCCAGCTTTCCACACTGTCTCATCCGAAGCGATCCCATGTATTACTAATGTGCCTCCCTTTCTTTTTCTCTCCCTATCTCCTTTCCCTCTCTGACAGCATCTTTCTTTTTCTCCCTTTTAGCTTGCCGTGGTTGGCTATCACCTGACCTCTCATGTTTATTGGCAGTCTTCGGACGGGCCAGGAGATGTTGAATAAATAAATAATAGGTGTCAAACATAGTGCTAACGTATATAACTGAGTGCAGCCACAAAGCAAGAGGTGATGAAGATGAGACGGAGGACGAGGATAAGGCGGAGGAGGTCGAAGGAAAGGAGCGGGATGAGACGGAAGAGAGCGACGTGAGCAAAAAGTCAGCTGTATTTTGTCACTTGTTATCACGTCCAGATTGTCTTAGTGTGTACGATGATTCTCACTTTTCTGTTTTGTGCCGTGCAAGTTATGTTAAGCAGTTGAAGGTTCTGGAAGCTGTATGTATTCGTGTGCATAATCCTGTTCTTTGTAAACAAAAGAAGCATGTAGTCGCGCTAAAGTTGTTCTCGTAGCTGGTTATCAGATGTAAATGTTGTGTCATGTTGCACTGTATCACCTCTTGCTTTGTGGCTGCACTCAGTTATATACGTTAGCACTATGTTTGACACCTATTATGTAATGCTTTAGCACTTCCTTTGTTGTTCACACTTTTAATTAATTATGCTGTTATAAAATGTTCTATTTTTGTACACAGTACCCTCAGTTCCGATACTATTCACTGATGAGCGGAACACGAAAATCGATTTTGAATAACATAAAAATCCTTAAAAAAATTCCATGAACTCGTTGTTGTCTGGCCATGTCTGCATCGATTATACTCCTAATTGCACTAATAAAATTGCTTTCTCCACGCCGACTCTTTACAAGATACATTGTACTAGTATTCAGCCACAAAGCAAGGCGCACAAAAAAGAAGGCGCGAACCGTGAAGTATGAAGGTGAGAAGCAGCAGGTGGAGGTGGTATCAGGGCATGAACTAACGGTCGGACATCGGACATTTTCCGACCGTTTTCGGTCGTTGTCCTGGCGAAATATCCGTGCAACGGAAGAAGTGTCCGATCGATCCGTTACGAAAAAAATACTCCATGGGCATTTCAATGCACGTGGGTGCAGTCAAACTCGTCTCAGATCTGGAACTGGACTCACGTTTGGAGCGCGTTGTGGTGGACAATAGGTAGTGCTCTTGGCGAGTTTGGGCTCATTGTATTAGTAGTAGGGACCAAGCCGGTTCTGGGACAGATAAGTGGTTATGAATGGGTACTTGAACTTTGCGGTTGTTAATTAAGTGGCCACTTGACCTTTTAATTGGATAAGTGGTAGTGAAGTGGCCACTTGAGATCTGAAGTGGTTTTGAAGTGGGCCAGGTGTCATATTTAATTGGATTAATGATTAAGTGGTGTTTGAAGTGCCTCTCGGCGTCATAATTGCTTTTAAAGTGGTGGGTGTGGTTGTTGATAAGAGTCACTGTCTGGGAATGTGTTCTGGAACCTTCTAGGTATTCCCAGGCTAATTAGAACTAGCTCTACGGATGTCATAGGGGGGGTATTTTAGGAGGTGTGACTCATTTATAAATTGATATATGATGCAGCGTTTACTGGAAAATGTGATCAGTTAGCATAATGGATATTGAAGAGCAATTTGAAATACTGCGTGCGTACAAGGAGCGTCAACGCGCCGTCGTTGAGCATGACGATGACCCTTGTCCTGATGCCCCTCCTCCTAGTCCAAACATTGACACATGTTTTCATAATCATCAAGTTGTGAACGAGGGGCACTTTGTTTGTACTGTATGTGGACTTGTTCTTGATAGCGTGCTGTTGCCGGAGGTGAATTTTACGGAGAGATGCATTCTCCCACGGCTATATGCAGCTCGGGAGCGATTGACTGCCGTCGACAGACATCTGGTACGCTTCATGCAGAAGACTGGTGTCCTGCTGAACCTTCACGGTGTGCTGGAACCGTTGCAGTACATGAAGAAGGAGAGTGGCTACAAGAGCCTGAACTATGCCATAGCTCTGACATGCATCTGTGCTGAGCACGACGAGATTTGCCAGAAGCTTCAGCCATATCTTCCAAAGAGCCATGTGGCGTGGGCACGATCCAGCAAGCTAATGAGTTGCAAACCGCAGCAATTTTCGAAAGCCTGGCTCCGCCAACTTCTAATCCGTACAAAACCTCTTACCCCTTTTCAGCTGAAGAAGTTTAAGCAGAATATCCGAGAGTTTAATTCTGAGGAGAAGGAACTGATGCAAAGACTAATCCAATCTTACGGGTGCTGTGAACCTCGTGTGGAATTAATTCCTGCGGAGATGAAATGTGCGCTGTACCGTTTCTCAAGTGCCATGTGTAGGGCGAGGAAGATGATGATGAAGGGTACCGTTGCCGCTGTATAAAACCCCTGACCTCTTAATTTTCCATCATTTCGCAAAGCATCCTTGCCAAGTCACAAGTAATTGTTGTTGTTGTCTTCATCCTTGCTATTACTTTGGTGAAGAAGAAGAAGAAGAAGAAGAAGAAGAAGAAGAAGAAGAAGAAGAAGAAGAAGAAGAAGAAGAAAAAACAACAACAACAACAACAACAACAACAAGAAGAAGAAGAAGATCATGAACATGTGGTCTATTTTGAAAGATCATGGTGAGGACGGCCATTGTCCAATGGGTGCGCTGATGCGTTGTGCTGCGCGGTTGGGAATCGCAACCTCGCTGACAAACCTGGTGGAACCTTTCAATGGAGACCATGGATATGACCAAGCAGTTGTTGAAAGTCACCCCATAACCAACTTGATCTGGATTGCTGCCAAGGACATGGCTTGCTGCGGGCGGAAAGAACTACTTGATGTAGTGAAGCTGCTGTTTCCAGTTGATCCAAGCCCTGATGGAAGTACGCCTAGTACTGCTACTGGCAAGTCGGACATTGCTCAACGCCACCTCATGAAGAACCTATCCTGCGTGTTCAAGAAGGTGAAGAGCACCCCTTCCAGTAACAACATTAGTATGATCATCGTGTTGGTTGCAATGCTCATTCTCTTGTGTGAAGAAGTGTCGCTGAGAGGATACGATCATGAGCTGCACTGCACTCTAGTTGAGTTCTTCGATCGAGAACTGCATGCTCTTGACGTGGTGCACTACAAGCGTTGTCAGCAAACTCAGTCAACATTCACGAATTGTGGAATTCCACAAATGCTCACATTGATTACTATTATGTCTATCCTTGCCTCCCTCACTTTGAGCTATATTATTTGACATGTGGACACACACACACACACACACACACACACACACACACACACACACACACACACACACACACACACACTCAAATCATCATCATCATCATAATACATGACGTTATTCATTAAAAACATTTTATTATAATTTATCAATACACTTGGTAAAGAAAACGGAATGAATCATAAATGTTGTAGTTTCTGTACACGCCTGTGATGGTATCGTCCATTCTCAGTACGGCTTGATTGGCATGGAGTGGGTTGGAAGTGAATGACAGCGTGCACTTGTTCTTCCTGGGTGTTTGACTGTGTGACATCCAGTAGCGTATCTCCTTTGTCCCGCGCTCTGCAGCATCTGCAGGGTATCCAACTAGAATGTATAACCCAAGCGGCACATGCACCGACATGGGCGACTACCATGATCTCTACCTGAAGACCGATGTGCACCTTCTTGCAGATGTGTTTGAGAAATTTAGATGCACTGCAATGGCCACGTACGATTTGGACCCGACACACTACTACACCCTGCCTGGATTCGCGTGGGACGCCCTTCTGAAACATACAGGAATCTCGCTCACTCTGCTGGACGACGTGGACCTGCATCTGTTCGTCGAGCGCGGTCTTCGTGGCGGTGTTACAATGGCGTCACACCGCCACGCCAGGGCGAACAACAAGTACATGAGCTCACACGACCCTGAGCAGGCGTCAACATATCTTCAATACCTCGACGCGAACAACCTGTACGGCTGGGCCATGTCGCAGCACTTGCCGACATCAAAATTCCAGTGGTGTGCCGCCAGTGACGAACTCCTGCAGAAGATCCTCACCCAGCCAGATGACACAGACACTGGGTACATGGTGGAGTGTGATCTGTCAGTGCCCACAGAGTTCCACGATCGCCTGAACGACTACCCACCCGCACCGGAGCGTGTAACCATCACCGAGAGTATGATGTCGCCATACCAGCGCGACTTGATTGCAGCAGATCCTGTCTCCGGACTGAGTGCTCCGAAACTGGTCCCGAACCTCATGCCGAAGCAGCGCTACGTAGCACACTACCGTAACCTCACGCTGTACAGTCGTCTAGGTCTGAGGATCGATGCTGTACACCGCGTGCTCAGTTTCCGCCAAGCTCCGTGGATGAAGCCCTACATCCAGCTGAACACGGAGCTTCGGAAGAAGGCGAAGAACGATTTCGAGAAGGACTTCTTCAAATTAATGAATAACGCTGTGTTTGGGAAGACAATGGAGAATGTGAGAAGAAGGATCTCCATTAGACTGCTGCGTGTGGAAGACGAGGAAGATACCATTCTCACAGCTGTGGCTAAGTCCACCTACGTCCGCCATGTCCTCTTCGACAACGGGCTTGTGGGCGTCGAGAACAGGAAGCTTGCGGTCCACCTCAACAAGCCGGTGTACGTTGGCATGAGCATCCTGGAGCTGAGCAAGGAGCTCATGTACAGATTTTACTATGACGAGCTCCAGCCACGCTACGGAGACCGCATGAGCCTGCTGTACACAGACACGGACTCGCTGGTGCTGCTGTTCCGCACGGAGGACCTCTATGCGGACATGAAGAGTATGGCCGATCAGTACGACACCAGCAACTTTAGCCCCGACAGTCCTCTGTACAGCGAGAGTAATAAGAAGGTTGTAGGTAAATTTAAGGACGAGCTCGGAGAGAAGCTCATGACAGAGTTCGTGGCGCTCAGATCCAAAATGTACGCGTACGATGGCGAGGAGAGTGGTCAGCGTGCAAAGGGCGTCAAGAGAGCGGTGACGAGAAGATTCACGATCGCGGACTACCGTCAGTGTCTGGTCGACAGGACGAGGATGTCACACGCAATGACCACCCTGCGCAGCCATTCGCATCGTATCTTCACCGAGACGATGACCAAGTCGTCTTTGTCGCCGTTCGACAGCAAACGATACATCCGAACGGACAGTGTCAGCACACTTGCACATGGGCACCACCGCATCGCACTGCTGGATGACTGAACAATGATGGTTGTGGTTGACAATCACAATTATTAGTCACACCCTGTACCATATCAATTCCATTTGTCTAATGAGTTACTGATCTTGATCTTGATGATGATGATGATGATGTTGATGTTATTATTTTTCTACATACTACATACTTTTGTTTTCTCCATAACTTAACTAGACTTTTAATATAGCTAAACATAATTGCGTGAAATGCAATTGCACAGTTGATGATGTTTACGATGATGGCAATGTTTGATGTTGATGTTGATGTTGATGATGATAATAAGAATAAGATTGCTCTTGTCGGCAGCTAGAGCTTGCTCAATTGTCCGTTGTCAATCCAGGAGTTGAACTTGTCCGGGTAGCCTTTCCACTTGACCAGAGACTGTCCGGGGCGTTTGCGCAGGACTTTCTCCACGCGGAACTTGGTTTTCCTTGGTTTTCTGCAGTTGATGTTCGTAGAAACTGCCCTGAATAGGCTCGTTCATGAGATCTCGAATGTTGTAGGTGGGTGGTTGGGTGGGTAGAACTCTATTCACGACGAACACCTCTTCAGTCCAATTGGGTGTGTAGCCCTTTTTCGAAATGAGCTTTGCTCACAGCAATTCTCACTTCATCGTTCACAGCATAGCGTCGCCGCGCTGTGCGTGCATCTGGACTTTTGCTGGGGTGATCCTGTACAAACGATGCATTACGCTCCTCGGACGCCTCGGCAGGTTTCATACCAATACTGCGGTACGGTGCTTGCTGGTGTTGTAGTCATGTACAAGTTTGGACTTTGGGTAGCACTTTGATGTAGACATTTGTTGATTTTGCTGTAAAGTGTTTCAGCGTTCTGTTGAATCGCTCTGCAACCACCGCCCCTTGCCGTCGTTATGAGTGCTGTACATGCTAATACCGTTGTCAGCAAGCCACTGCTTGACTGTTGCGTTGTAGAACTCTTTACCCTCATCGACCCACAGCTTGCGAGGTGAGCGCTTGCTGCTGGTCACGATGCTGCGAAACGCATCTCTGACAAGTGCGCCCGTCTTGTTCTGGAGCGGTACAACCCACCATGCATAGGGACCGAAAAGATCGATGACGGTCAGCAAATGTCGAGTGCCATTGTCATTTTTTTTTTTTTTTTTTTGCAAACGCCTGCATGTCCAACAGATCTTCACTCCATTATGATAATTATGTCATCCAACTCGTGCACTATCACACGTCTGCGGGGAAGCGTACACGTCTTGGTCTGTGCATTTCACTGGCTTTAAACGCTCCATCCACACATCATCGTCATCCTCACTAGCACTGACGTGACACCACTGTCAGTGCCTGGGGGCAGCAGCAGCAGCAGTTGCACCGCTGTCACTCCCAACACCGCCAGTCCCACCACCTGCGGTGCCGTTTGTGATTGAATCACTGTCAACGTCCAGGATCACGGGATCCTTGTGCAACCTATTGTCAGTGAAGTCACAGTTAGTGGCGTGCAAGTACTCGCAAAGTACCTTCAATAGTACCCTGCTCCGAGAACAGTCTCCCTACGAGAACTGCATACCGACCACACACGGCAGTGCATGATAAAATTAAAAATAATAATAAAAAAATATTGACTGGTTATAAAAATGTTATTGAATAAAGTCATGTATTATGATGATGATGATGGCATGTGTGTGTGTGTGTGTGTGTGTGTGTGTGTGTATGTGTGTGTGTGTGTGTGTGTGTGTGTGTGTGTATGTGTGTGTGTGTGTGTGTGTGTGCAAGTTGCTATGTCTAACATAGCTGTTCGCTATCATCGCTTCCGCGATGGGCATGTCTGAGGAGGAGGTGAGGTGAGGTGTGTGTGTACATCTCCAATAATATACATGTAGCTCAAAGTGAGACAGGCGAGGATAGGCATAATAGTTATCAATGAGAGCATTTGTGGAATTCCAAAATTCATGAATGTTGACTGGGTTTGCTGACAACGCTTGTAGTGCACCACGTCAATAGCATGCAGTTCTTGATAAAAGAACTCAACTAGAGTGCAGTGCAGTTCATGACCGTATCCTCTCAGCGACACTTCTTCGCACAAGAGAATGAGCATTGCAACCAACACGATGATCATACTAATGTTGTTACTGGAAGGGGTGCTCTTCACCTTCTTGAACACGCAGGATAGGTTCTTCATGAGGTAGCGTTGAGCAATGTCAGACTTGT